ACTGATCTTCTTGGACAATAGTTTACAGCCTTATTTCCTTTGACAGCGCAGTTTTGAGGTACATATACATGCATGTGAGAGATTTAAGACAAGTCTAGGTTGTATTGTCTGGCTCTCTCACTTCGCATTTATAATGTGCTGTCGTTTAAACTAAGAATAAAGGAATCTATTATCGTATGGAAAAAAGAGCACAATTTATTCTCTGCGTGATATGGTAGCGCAGTCTCAGAAAAATAAATACATAATTAATTTCTGAAATTTGACAAATTTAATGAGTTGTGTAGTGGTTTCTATGTCTTCCCCTGCACTTTTGCAAAGCTGTCTTTTTGGCTAGGATAATAGTAATCTTTTCTTTCAGAAAAGGAGACAGAGAAAGAATATAAAAAGTGACATATTTAATGAAGGACTTTTTTTATGAGCCAATTTAATAAAGACGTTTTTAAATTGACCAAATTAATGGAGAAATATAAAAATGGACCAGTTTAATGAGTTTTGCCATTACCTCCTCCCAAATGTGTCTATCCCAGGGAGAGATGTATCACTGTATGTGATGTCCTACATTCACCATGTGGAACTGTATTGATATTTATCTCTATGTGATGGCGTATGTACTAATAAAAACTATAGACATTTGCATGGATGCGTCTCTGCTTTTATTCATCGGGTCGTATCCAGTACTCATTCTCATAGTTTTTGTGTTATATGACATGGAGTTCAATTCTTATATGTGCTGAAATCTGTTGTGTCACTGTTTTGATTTAGTGGGCAGTTGGCGGGTGCTCTGGTGGGATTTGCTCCTTCTTTTCTATTAAAAAAATCTATCGTCTCTATTCCCCCCTCCTTCTTTTTCGTGTTTGTTTCTCTCTTGCAACACCTCAAATCTTCAGCACCTATTTGACCTTAGGCCCCATTGTGTTGCAAGTGCCGTAAAACTCTTACTAATACTTTTAAAAGCTGCTTTTATTTATTCCGACAGCGCCAGATACTCATAGTTTCTGTTTTCTGTTTTGTGGGCCTAATTATTATTACGGAGGTCAGTTCTTGTTGTTGGGAAATATGTCTGTTGTTTTTCCTGGTGATCTAGACAACTGCATTCCAAAGACCGGAGCAATGCTGCACTCTTGCAAATAGAATCATGGTTCAGGAGGAAGGAACATTTGCTCGATAAATATACATATGTAATATATGTGTGTGTACGTGTATGTGTGTGTGTGTTTGTGTGTGTGTATGTGTGTGTATGTGTGTGTGAGTGTGTGTTTGTGTGTGTATGTGTGTGTGTGTGAGTGTGTGTGTGAGTGTGTGTGTGTGTGTAGATTACGACCTCATGCCGGCTTAGAACCTTTCTACAAGTACTTATTTTCTTATAGTTTCCCATTTCCTAGTTTCTAGAGAGGCTAAAAATAGTGGGTGGTTGGAGGGTGCCACTGGTAGATCCTACTCCTTAACTTTCCCTCGGTTATTTCTGTCTGTCTGTCTGTCTGTCTGTCTGTCTGTCTGTCTGTCTGTCTGTCTGTCTGTCTGTTTGTCTGTCTGTCTGTTTGTCTGTCTGTCTGTTTGTCTGTCTGTCTGTCTGTCTGTCTGTCTGCCTGTCTTTTTCTCAACACTAAATGTACCATAATTGTGTCTGTGTGACTCTCTTTACTCCAATAAAAACAAACAAACAAACAAACAAACAGGCTGATAGCGCAGATATTTTACATTATTTGTTTAAAAAACATCGACACAGATCTATTTGTAGTTGCTGCAATGACATAAATACAGATCTGAAGAGCCCCTTAAATAACCTAATAGAGCCCCTTAAATAACCTAATAGAGCCCCTTAAATAACCTAATAGAGCCCCTTAAATAACCTAATAGAGCCCCTTAAATAACCTAATAGAGCCCCTTAAATAACCTAATAGAGCTCCTTAAATAACCTAATAGAGCCCCTTAAATAATCTAATAGAGCCCCTTAAATAACCTAATAATAGTGTTGATAGGGGCGTTAAACCCATACCATTTCACCATTTCACCATTTTCACCAGATCTGAAGAAACACAACCCTGCCTCAGCCTGTACCCACCACAATACGATGAGAAGAGTGGTCAAACGTCTCCCATATGAGAAGTTCTGAGTGAATGGAATTTTGTGCTTTCAGATAAATGTTAATTAAAACTATGAGTTTTATTCTCATTATAATTTGGAAAAAGCTTTTCAAATCAACCGCTTAGGAATTATAGATCTTTATAAGTTGACAATCCAACGCAGCAGATCTCCTTCAATGGTAAAGGACGTGTTATCAAAGGAACATTTGAAGTTATTGGGGGTATTTTACAAGGTGCCAAAAACAGCTCTTATATCAAATAAAGTTTTTTTAAATATCTTTTTAAAATAAATAATTCATTTATTGTCATGTTATTTTAATG